CTTTAATATAAGTTTAACATAACAGCAAATGTACAACGTTTCGACAAAGTTTTGTCATCATCAGGTACCTTGTCGAAACGTTGTACATTTGCTGTTATGTTATACTTATATTAAAGTTTTTCTTCATTACCCATTCAAGCCGTCTCCAAGCATTATTAGTCTCAAAGTGGATTCCTCGTCATCGAATTTGAATACTGAACGTAACTTTCCATTAGCAATAGCGTTGCAGCGACATCCAACTTACAAAGTGTGAGGCCTACAATTAAATGTCTGTGCTTCAATTCATGGGTTAGGTTGCTGATGTATTATGGTGGCATTATTGTTTTGTTATACGTTTTTTAGTAAAATTTGAGCTTTGACCTACGTAGGAGTTAATATTATTTTAAATATTACACTTAACTTACCAAAAGAAAATCGCTATGTATATAAAATTTCGACATCAAAATTCAGTTGTTGTAACATAGTTGTTTGTAAGTTTTATTTGTTGCCATGATACCCACAAGTCCCGTTTCAGAGTAGTATTTAAATGAAAAAACAATACTAATATTAAAAATGTAAAAATATATAATTTATATTTACATATATTACCCAATTTATAATTACGTAGTAGAACAGTTTTCCGTTTTATTTTTAATAATTGTTCAGGATCCATATACTTTTTTGTAATTGCCCGGGACTGTTATTAAAACTCAAGTGTTAAAATGGCGGCTAAAAATTCCAATTCATCTTCTGTAGTAGATACTCGGGCAGAACTTGCGGAACTAGTAAAAAGAAGAGCAGAAATTGCAGTACATATTTTTTAAAGACAATAATGACTGAATGGTTTTTCTTTTCACGTTTTAAGCAGTTTATATAATGATGTGTATTAACTATTGCAATTAGTACTAACTTCAAAAATTAAGCCTAATACTAATAGTACTACTTTTCTGGATGTTGTATTGAATGGAATTATCTGTAAATGTAATACTAGTTGATAGCAGTGGGTAGTTGGGAATGTTTTTTACATTGAAATTAAGTATAACGCTTCGACTAGTAATGCAGTCATATTCAAGTACAAACACGGAACAAATTAAATTGAAATAATCTAATACTTAAAAATAATTTTTTATCTGTAACTTATAACACTGAGCCCTGAAGTGTACCCCGCTTGTGACACACATATAATTTAAGAACAATAAAAAACCTATTGGTCTGTATAGCCTGTCTCATCCATTAAAGTAAACTTTAAAAATTAAAACTGAACACTCACAGTCAGCCCTTGTCATTCAGATTTTTATCAAGCCTTCCTTTAAACTCTGTTAGATTAACAGCATATACCAGATCTGAAGGCCAACCAAATATTAATCCAGCTTGACTGAACTCTATTTTTTCAGAACTCTTTGTTTTCTTCTACCCAGCCAGATTTCAAGCCAACTTATCTCTAACATCTACAGATAGGGTTACCAAACATCCCAGTAATTTTTTTATCTTTATCAGAAACAAGGGGCTACCATCTTGTCATGGTGGAGCAGCTTGAATGACTTTGTGACTGTGATACCTATGCTGACAAGAATCTTGTACTCCTGGCAAGGTCTTTCAAGCCAAAAAGATTAACGGTAGAGGCCTGATGAAACATGGTCCCTTAGTCCTTCAAGTTGGGCATAAGGTTAGCAACTTCATCCCTTAAAAACCATTTCCTGCTACAAAAACTTCAGCAATTCATCAATATCACTTTACTTGGGAATGTGCCTCTGTAGGAAAAGAATGACACAAACTGGTTAAAGCCATCCAGAAACCATTTCGCTGTTTACTCTTCAGACAACAAAAGCACCAACCAGATTTAAAACCTGGAATGTCTGTACTATGTATAAGACAGGGAAGGCAGCCCAAATTGTCCAAAAGATGAGGCGAAACAACATCCAGCTGCTGGGCATCTCTGAGAGCAGATGAAATGAATCTGGGTTATCTACACTTGGAAGTGGAGAGCCTTCCAGTGGTACAGCGGCATGTCTACAGACTTACAATGCTAGAAACCGCGTTTCAATATCCGTGGTGGGCAGAGCACAGATAGCCTATTGTGTGGTTTTGTGCTTAACTAACAACGAAACAAAGAAAGTGGAGAACAGATCATAACTCAGGCCAAGAAGTTACATACCACACAGAGTGAGTGCCAATTGTGATGTCAGCTACCTCTGTAAAAGCCTTAATGGAGTGGGAGCCTGTGTTATCACAGACTATTGCTACAAGGTTTAACTCCAGAGGCAGGAAGGTCACTGTTATCCAGTGTTACGCATCCATAAACAATGCAAAATAATGAGGACAAAAAGAGACTATGAAAGTCTTCAGAGTTCTACACACCACTGTCAAAAGTGACATAAAAATTTTATGGGAGATATGAATGAAAATGGAGAACTCTTCACAGACTTCTGCACCCTCATTGACTTGGTCATAAGATGCCGTATGTACCCCTACAAGGACATTTACAAAGCAATATAGGTCTCACCGGGTAGATGGATGAAAAACCAGATCAATCATATCACCATTGCAAGAGATTGAAGATAAAGCCTACTAGATGTCTGAGTGAAGAGAGGAGCTGATGTCACTTTTGACCACCATCTCAGACTTGGAACTCTGAGAATCAAACTGGAGGTCTTAAAGGACACAATCAACAAACTTCACCATAAGATTAACACCTAGAGATTCAAAGTGTAAGCAGTGAGGGAAACATTTGCCATTACCTTACAAAATAGACTTGCTGCTCTTAAGAGATTAGTTGATGAGAAGCCATTGGATGAACTTTAGACTTTTCTGAAGGATGCTTGGAAGAAGACATGCACAGAGGTCTTAGACAAGTAGGAAAGATAACATAAGGAATTGCTGTCAGCTGAAATTTTAACACTGATAGAGCAGAGGAAACAACTCAAACAAGAATTTTCTGCTGTGGCAATATCACAGAGAAGAAGGAGATCTAAACAAGGTACTACTTTTTGAATAGTGAGGTAAAAAGAATACAAGAAAGTACAAGAGAGACTTCTGTGATAACCTTGCAATTAAAACAGAAGAAGAAGCTGCAGTCAAGAAAGACCTCAGAACACTTTATCAAACCACCAGACCTCTGTCATGAAAAAGGGGGACTTGGTTGAAGCCAGTAAAGTTCAAGGAAGAAGAGATTATCACAAAGGAGTCTGTACAGAGGTCATGATTGAATGAGTATTTCCAGGAGATATTCAACTGACCAGTGCCTGTGTTGGTAATTGACTAAATCATGTGAAGCAGGTTCGGGCTGGAATACAATGATCACTTGATGAAGACCTAGACTTCACAGATGACCTGTGTCTTATGTCACATAATAGGTAACACATGCAAACAAAAACAAACCAGCTCATCATGAAAACAAATACAGGACTTGTGGTGCACACAGGGAGAAGTAATGAAGATCCAAAATAAGAAGAAAAAGCCATCACATTAAATAGGAATAATGTAAAGAAGTGAAAAAATTCTCTTACCTATTGTGTCTGTCATGAGAGACACAGATGAAGATGCAAAAATCAGAATAGGGAAAGTTGGCCATGCCCTCAACACCTTAAAGTCAGTTTGGAACTCAAAGGATTTCTCCATAAGAAACAAACTCAGGATTTTCAATAGCAATGTCAAATCAGTCTTGCTAAATGGCTGTGAAACATGAAAAGTAAACACCACCACATTCAGCAAACTCTAGACTTTCATCAACATATGACTATAATAGGCCTATAATTACCAGGGCTATACTTATCACTTCCTTTGAAAAAGAGGAGTAACATTAGCCAACTTCTAATCTTCTGGCACCTGCCCACTATTCAAGGACATAGAAAATATTGTTGCAAGTGACTCACATATCTGATCCTTAATTTTTGATTATCAAAAATCCTTGGGGAAATATGATAAAGCCTAGTAGCCATATCATTTTTGAAAATTCCAAATTTCTTCATAACAAACTCAGAATTAGTGTAATTATCTTGTTTCCATCTATTAACTTTTCAGGATGAGGAATAATGCTCTAATCTTCAGTAGTAAAATTTGGAGAAAAGATAGAACTTAACCTAGCCATCTCATATTCATGAGATATGAGTCTTCCTTTTGTCATTCCTCACAGGCCTACTCCCATCCTAACATTTTACTTACTCATAATGTATTTAAGGAAATCCTTACTAATAATTTTTACATTTTTCTATATATCCTTTTTGTTTGCCTAAAGTCCTGTTTGACCAATTCTCTTGAACTTCTATGATCCTCTCTCTCTCATCATAGCAGTCAATTTAAACTTATTAAATTTATAGTGCTTTTCTCTGATTTTGTCCCTTATTCTCTGTGAGGCAACCTTGTCTTTTACTTGCAACTACCCTAACCCTTTCCATTTTATTTCGAATATATGTTATTTATTGTATGTACAAATTTTATTTTCATTAAATTATTGTGCTTTGTTAGTACTTTAAAAAACTGAAAGTGCTTGAGTTTTGGGTTTTGTATTTCATCTAATTTTTTATCCTACATGTTTACTTGGAATTAAAAAAAGGATACATTATTTTCTAGCATTTAGAAAATTTGAAGCAAAAGTTGTCTAGTTAAAAAATCTCAAAAGTGCTGCATTAAGGCTAGTAACAATATTGCTAGGGATTATTTACTGACATAAATAGCATATGTTGATAGTACTGGTAGTAACTTGCAGAGCTCTTCTGAATAACATGTTTTTATAATTTCTAGATACATTTTGATGTAATAAAGGAGCCATTACACAAGGAAACTAAACTATATGCTACATTGTAACTATTATTTAGATCCTGTAAAGTGTGACTTTTTATTTTTAGTTATATAATTATGTTTCATAATTTATGTACAAATCGTCATAGATAACACTGACTTTTATTTGATGTGTATTTATGGGTGTGTTTAACTGAGAACTATGTTTTCTTACCCAGGAAACACTAGCTAACCTTGAGAGACAGATATATGCCTTTGAAGGAAGCTATTTGGAAGATACTCAACTATATGGAAATATCATCAGAGGATGGGATAGATACTTAGCTACAAACAAGTGAAGAAAATTCTACTTGTTAATATAATCTACTTGTGCACTGTACATATAGGCACATTATATTTAGTAGTAACCATATCATATTGAATATTTGAATTAGAATATTATTATGTTGTTGTATAGAGATTGTAAAATGAAATTGCTTTAAAAAGTTAATAACAAGCAAACTACGCTATTTTGCTCTTTTAATCTCAGTTGATAGAGCTTTATCAATACAAAAATATGGTCAAGAAGTTTGAATTAATTTATTTTAAATGAATAAATTGTCTTCACTGTTATGATTAGTATCCTACATGATCACTTTTTTACCAATTAGGTTATATTGTACATTTTGGCTGTTATATATGAGAAAAAGAAAAAACCATCTGCATCCATCTAACGGATAACACACAGCCAATCTGGCATAAAAATTAGCAAAACCTGGATACCCTTTTGATGCATTCACAAATAGTTGATTCAAGTAATAACGGAGATCTCATAATGGTAGATGATAAACAAATCTTTCTAACAAGAAGAACTAGAATTGAATCCAAGCCACTAACATCACCTCCAGTCCTTCTCGTTATTTCCCCAAAGACTACATCTGAAACATGGGATATATAATTAGTATCTAGTTATTATATAAAGACATCAATTAATAATTATACTTAATTGATCAGATAGTGTTTGAGGTCAGATCACCATGCTTTACCATAACTACTTAAATAAAGCCTTTTTTATTTCTCTTATTTAATTGATCAGCTAGTGTTTGAGGTCAGATCACCATGCTTTACCATAAGTACTTAAATAAAGCTTTTTTTATTTCTCTTATTTAATTAATGAGAATCGTTTGAGCATTCCGTAGATGTAAATAATATAGCTCATTGAAAGGATTACCAAATATTATGTGCACTTTATTAAAAATTAGTGATCAAGCACTGTATGCTCTGGAATGTCATTATGTTTGTTAACTTTAAGTTTATAAATGTGTCAGAAAATGTTAGGCTTTTTTTTTGTACATTTATTTGTATGTGATAAATTTTAGTACTCTTTTATATGTTATTGATTAGTATTGTTACGACAGCGGAAGTCACGTGACGCTGGTAACACGTGATGAGTTTCTAGAAGGATCATGAAGGCCGAGTGTTTGCCAGACACCCTCTATTTTAGTATATAAGCCCGGCAAATAATTGCAGATATAGAGACAGATAATTGAGTCGAGCGAGCGGTAGTGACCATAAGTAAAGTGCATGAATCATTGTGAATTATAGCGTGTGTTTAACTTAAACAGAGTTCTCAACTTTGGACTTAAAATTGGGTTTCCATCAAGTGAAAATGGCTGAAGCAGATAAACCTAAGTCTGCATTTAGTTATGGCCAAGGTCTCTGGCAATACTGTGTGATGCCATTCGGGCTTAGCAATGCTCCAGCAATATTTGAGAGGTTGATGGAAAGAGTACTGGAAGGCCTACAATGGAGGATAGTCCTAGTGTACCTGGACGATGTCATTGTATTTGCAACAACTTTTGATGAGGAAATGTCCCGACTAGAGGAAGTATTCAAGTGTTCGAAAGCAGCAAACCTTAAACTCCATCCCAAGAAATATCACTTGTTCCAGAATAAGGTGCTTTACTTGGATCACATTGTTAGTGAGCATGGCGTGCAAACTGATCCTGACAAGGTGAAAGCAGTGCGTGATTGGCCAACAACAGACTCTGTACCTATTACTGGAAGTTTGTGAAGCACTTTGCAACTATAGCTGCTCCACTACATGATTTAACAAAAAAGGGCCAGAAGTTCGAATGGACAGTTTCTTG